CTCCTTTAATTTCTGACTCTCCTTGGGTCAGCAGAGATGAAGACTTTCTGTCAGTGAAGAAGTGCCATGGGAGGGCTCTGTGGGAATTCCCAGAATGAGACGATTCCGTCCAAGGATCCTTCCTGTAACACACAGCCTGGCTCCTCGGCTGGGGTGATGGGCTGTCCTTCATGGACAGAGGACTTGGAACAATGGCTGGTGAGACGCATCCCCAGTCGCCCCACTCTTCACCTCTAGGTGAGGCAGCAAGAGACATAGCGTCTGTTTGGGCTTCACAACGGCAGAGCATGGCTTCTGTCCAGGGACCTCATTTCCAGCGCTTGGAGGTTTGGTGAACGCACTCACCAAGCGAGTCCTGGGAATCAGGTGATGGAAATTGGACCCTTTTCCAAGCCTCCAAGAAATGGCTTTAAACATAGGCCTCTGAGGGGGAGGGTATAACTCAGGGTAGAGGGGCACTTTGCATGCATAAGGTCCTGGGTTCAATCCCCAGTACCTCCATTAAAATAAACAAATAAATAAATAAACCTAATTACCTCCCTCACACAAAAAAATTTTTTTAGATAAATAAACATAGGCTTCTCATGTTCCTAGGTAGGAGCTGTATTGACTCCCACTGTACCTGACAGTGCCTGCTCCCCATTACCTGCCATCCTGCTTTGTTTGGTAACACCATCCCATCCTGGTCACCAGAATGCATGATGATATACAGGCCTTCTGCAAACTATGAGGAACAGTTATGCTTTGAAGTCATTCATTTATTAACATATCCTCCTATTGAGCACATACTCTGTGCTTAAACACTATAGGTAAAGGCTGACCTTACCTGTGGGGAACTTATGATCTCACAGGAAAGGCAGGTGTGGCAATAACAATTCTAAAAGTCAAGTAAATCATCACAAAGGTGCAGCATATTGAGATGGAGAAGCCCAGGATGTGATGAGGGTATAACGGGGGCATCGGGAAGGCTCTCTTGAAGAAGTGACCACTGAGCTAAGACCTGAGGGATTAGGAGGAGTCAGCTTCTAAACTGAATGAGAAAGAGGTTTTTGAGGCACAGAAAGTACCAGGGTCCTGAGGCAGACAAGCAGTTGGTGATTTCAGGGGCTGAGAGCACAGAGGGCAGGGGGAGAGGCAGAGGTGGTGGGTGGGGGCAAGACTATCATGCATCAGGAAGAATTCATGTTTGCATATAACAGAGGTCTAAATCTGAGGACTTAACAAGCATCCCTCCAGGGACCCGGTTCTGTCCAGCTTTTTACTCCACCATCCGAAGGGCATGGCTCTTGTCCTTATGCTTACAAGATGGCTGTTGAAGCTCCAGTCATCACATCTGCATTCCAGGTAGGAATAAGGAGAAGGGCAAAGACAAGAGGGACAAGCAGTCAAATTTGACCTTTTTCAAAAGGCTCCACTAGAACCTTCAGTTTATTCCATTAGCCATCCTGTGTCACAAGGTAACCTTAAGACATCCAGGAAATGAGGTTTTTTAGCTGGGTACATTGCTATCTGCTACAAAATCAATGTTCTATTAATAAAAAAGAGGAGCAAATGAATATTGGATAGGCAATGTCTAGAGTTTGCTCCACAGGGCCTTGTAGATCATGGTAAAGAGTGTGGCCTTCATTCTGAGTGCAGCTGGGATGCCACAGAATATTCTAAGCCAGAGGTGACATGGAAGGGGGAGACAACTCAGGGTTGCCCCACTTGAGCCACAGCAGCACATAGCTATGTCCATGTGTCTCCCAGGGCTACCATAACAAAATACCACAAACTTGGTGGTGTAAAACAGCAGAAACTTATTCTCTCGCAGTTTTGGAGGCCAGACGTCTGAATCAAGGTGTCAGCAAGGCCACGCTGCCCTTGAAGGCTAGGAAAGAATCCTTCCCTGCCTATTCCTAGTTTCTGGTGGCCCCTGGCAATCCTTCGTATTTTTTTGGTTTGTAAATTGCATCACTCCAATCTCTGCCCCTGCTGTCCCACGGCCTTCTTTCCTGAGTCCTTTCTGTGTCTCTATATCTAAATCTCCCTCTCTTTTCTTTTATAAGGACACCTGTCATTGGATTTAGGGCCCATCCTAGTCCAGTATGACTTCATTTTAACTTGAATACATCTGCAAAGACTCTGTTTCGATATAAGGTCACATTTATAGGTACTTGGGGGGTCAGGACTTGAACATAGCTTTATGTGGGACACAATTAAACCTTCTGTGCTATCAAAAGGACCAGAGTGCCACCTGGATGCTGCTTTGGTTCTGCTAGTCATTCACGTTCCCCTCCCCTAAAAAGACATCATAAAAAGAACAGCCCAGGAATTAAGGAAGCAGGTTTACTTCCAAAATTTTGACCATACCAGGCACTGGTCCCTCTTTCTTCCCTTGTAAAATGGCAAAAAGGAAGGATCTGGGCTCCCTGCTCAGGCCCCGGCTCATCTCGACAAACACTTCTCAAGCAGCAAGGATTCAGGGACTTTGGACCATGGATACAGCGGTGACCTTGCCCATCCCTGTGTGTCAGGGGCTCAGAGTTTGGGTGGGGGCGGGAAGTAGACATTTCAGTGATGGGCTGAATTGTATCTATGCTTGGTATTCTTTCTTCGAGCAAAAGTTTAGGCTAACTGATACCCTTTAATAAATCGCTTCTTTTTTGGAGCTAATGGGGAGAAAAGGTGAGCTGTCGCCGTGGCTGTGGCCAGTGGTCGCCACTGAACCTAAACTGGCTTCAGGCTTGGGGTCCCACAGACTGTCAGGTGCACAGTGTTGGTCGGGGCCCACTGTTGCTTTTGCTTTGAGGTGAAATAAAACCCACTCATCCTGTGAATCCCAGGAAGCAGGCAGGCAGCCATCAGACTCCTCTCCTGGACACCTTTGTGCACATCTCTTTGCATGAGTTGGTGTGCAAGGGGCATTGTTTCTTGGGACATGATTTTTTTGGGTTGTTATTTGGGTTTTTTTTTCTTTTGGTGGAAACGCCAGCAGAGATGGGTGGAGATAGGAGAGATGGAGACCCAGGGGGAAAAGACGTGGCACCTGGTCTCCTGGGGAGTGAGGGAGAAGCAGAAGCTGAAGGGGCTGCTTTCTCGTGGGAGGCTGTGAGCTCAGGCATGAGCCCAGCTGCTCCGGTGCCCGTGGGCAAACTAGGGAGCAGTGCTTCCTCCTCTGGGCATCTTCTGGGACCCCAGGCTAGACAACTGAGGCAGCAATGGGAGGAGGCATCCTTGGCATGGGTACCCCAGGGCTGTGGCACAGGGTGGCCCCTTCTGGTGGCTTCATAAGTAAAACCAGAAATCCACCAAGCTGGGGCCCATGGGACTCTCACAAATTGTACCCCTGAGTACAGGATGGTGGAGGTCCTCAGTGGGCAAGTCAGGGAAAAGACCACTAAGAAGGTGCTGTTTAAGCTGGGCATTGAAGAAGTAGGAATCTGCCCAGGGAGAAGCAAGAAGGTCATCCCAGGTAGAAGGGTCAGTGGGCAAAGTCATGTGTGACCACTGGTGGCCTGAGACTGTCGGGGAGTCCAGGCCGGTGAGTGAGTACATAGGATGCACAGGCTCAGGAAAGGAGGAGAGAGAAGGTGGGGCTTGCCTCCTGTGTGACCTCATATGTCAGGCTGAGGTTTGAGTTTTGTCTTGAGGGCAGTGGGAGCCCCAGATGGCTTGTGAGTAGAGGGCTGTGGCCTCATCTGTGTTTTAGATTTGTTTAGATTTGTTTGTCCCTGCTAAGGATGGGCAGAGGGGCGGGCAGTCTATAGGCTGGAGGGGAGGAACCAGGCAGTGGCAGTGGGAAATGCTCCCGCCCTCAATGTTCCTTCTGCTCATCTTCCTCCAGCCCTGCCCCGACCCCAGGGCCCCAGAGTGTGTTACTTGTCAAAAGAGAAGAATCTGCCTCCCAGCAGGTGGAGAGAGCAGACATCTCTTGGCCCTACTCATGCTGAGCCCAGGGCAAAGGCTGGTTGGACAGCTGGCAGGTTGGCAGGGAGAACATGGTCTGCTGTGCTGTGTCTGCAGCCACTGCCGCTGGACAGGCTGATTAATGACCCACGACGCCCGGGGCTCTGCACAGGTCAGCGGCCCCATTCCTGCGGCAGCAGCCAAGTGGACCTGCCCCTCTGCCTCCTTTCCTCCTACACTGGCGCTCCAGGATGGGCTGAAGTGCTAAGACAGTGCCTCCTCGCCTGGCTCTTCCACTCTTCCTGCTGACCATTTCCTAGCCTCCTGTAAATCCTGGCCCTAAATACTCGTGTGCAGGAGAGGTTTTACAGAATTAACTCTCAGCCTGCTGGGTCTGGCTTGTTCTTTATTTTGTCCCCACATGACACATAGTAGAATTTATAAATATGTCTTAAAGCAATCATTGCTGCTTCTCTCCCCTTTCTTAACCCTCTAGTGACTAGTATACCCTGTCCTATCTGCCTGCTTGAGAGTCTGTGTCTGTGTATTCAATCTGCATAAGTCCCACCCCCTCCATCAGACTAGCAATGTCTGAAGATCAAGGATCTGTCTCCATCTTTAGACTGGTGGCTTCTGAGATCCAGTTTTTTTTTCTCCCCTAAACTGGGTACTCCCCAGGTAAGGGGCTATGTCTCCCGCTCAGTCTGGGAGCTCCCTGAAGACAAGGGCTCTGTCTGGGGCTGCCCTGTCTGTTTCTCCCTCATGACCAGATTGAGCTCTGCCTTGGGTGTGTTCTGGGAGGGCTCAGGGGCTGTAGGAAAAGCCTCCTGGCCTGCCTGGGAATGGCAGGGCCAAGCATGGGTACAACACGTGTGGATTTAGCTGGGGCTAGAGCTGTTGGGGACATGGGGAGGAGCCAGGTGCTGAGCTATCTGAGGCCAAGGGGAGCCAAGGGGCTCCCAGGCCTAAACCAGCTCTCTGGGCCACAGTCCAGCACCCTGGGAGGGCCATACTTCTTGTATCCAGAAGTCTGGGTTGGGGAGGTGCAGAGGCTGGTTCCTGGCACCCCGATCCCTCATGCCTCCTGTGGGCTCTGTCTTGGTTGATGACAGGAAGACAACCACAGCTACTATGTGTCCCGTCTGTATGGTCCCAGCGAGCCCCGCAGCCGGGAGCTGTGGGTGGATGTTGCCAAAGCCAACCAGAGCCAAGTGAAGGTGCACAGAATCCTCTCCAACACCCACCGGCAGGCTTCGGTGAGTGTCCTAGTCCCTGGGAGTGCCGCCCTGTGCTGAGGGGCTAGAGGCCAGCCCACCCCACCTGGTCAGTGGGCATGGCTGTGGCCTGAGGTCTGTTGTCTGGGAAGGTCAGGGTGTCCTGAGATGCTTGACCAGAGTTGGGGTGCCCACCTATGGTCCTGGGGGCCTGCCCTGGACATGCTTGGTCCCCTGTCCAGACAAGCATGGGGCAGTGTGGGTACCCAGCTCCCTGGCCTGCAGGTTGGCCCATGCTGACTCTCTCCCATCCCCTGCAGAGAGTGGTCTTGTCCTTTGATTTCCCTTTCTACGGACACCCTCTGCGGCAGATCACCATAGCAACTGGAGGTAAGGCCTTGTCTGTGGGGCTGGGAGAGGGCTTGGGGATTTCAAGCAGAACTTGGGTCCTATGTGGGGAGTTTCCCTGGACACAGGGTTCTATAGATGGACTGGGGAGGGTCCCACATTTGACTCTCTTGGGACCCACTCTCAGTGGGGAAGTAAGTGAGTGTTTCAGACCACATCCTTTACATCGACTGACTTGCTTGTCTGTGTGTGTGTGTGTGTGTCTCCCTCTGGGTCGGCTCAGGCCAGTGTGAGCAGTCCCTGTGATCCCTGTGTTTCTGAGTATGCGAGTGGGAGAGAGGAGCCTGTGCTGAGAACCTGCATCTTGGAACCAGGCTTTCTGTTGATATGAGGAGCCCATCTTTGATTCCTGTACACTTTCCAAGGGACAGAGAGATGTGGGGGGGGGCAGGAAGAATCTTCTATGGTCTGAGGCCCTTTTGCTCCATACATGCCAGACCCAGAGTCCACCATGTGAGAATGGGGACAGAGGTCCAAGACTCGCTTCCAGCCCCATCTACACTGCTCCTTCCTGTATGGGGAAGCAACCCTCTGGGCCATCTCTGATTCATCTACACTTTTTCTCACCTCAGGTTTCATCTTCATGGGCGATGTGATCCATCGGATGCTCACAGCTACTCAGTATGTGGCCCCTCTGATGGCCAACTTCAACCCTGGCTACTCTGACAACTCCACAGTTGCTTACTTTGACAATGGTAAGATCAGATCTCAACATGTGAGTCACCCAACTCCAGGACTTCCTTGGTCCAGCCCCTTTAGAGGAGCCCAAGGCCCAGAGAGGGCAAGGGCTTGCCCACAGTCACACAGCAAGGCAGCCACTCCCACTTTTCTGTATTCATTTCCCTCAGCTGTAAGATGGAGACAAAATGCCTGCTACCTTACAGGATCTGATGATAATGAAATGAAAGCTCTTGGCTCTTAGTAGAGGTGAAATAAATGTTAGAGACCTTTATTGTTTGTTACTCTCACCAAGTTGTCCCTTAAGCATCTACCTCCCACCCCAGGAGGACAGACGTTTCTCCTATTTCTCCTCCTTTTCATCTCAAGGGGTGAGGATAGGCCAGAAAGAAGCAGTGTGCCTGGGGCTGGAGATGATCAATCATAGCACCTGGGCTGGGGGGAGGCTGAAGCAGGGTCTTCTGGTTCCTCTTCAGCTTGGAAGCCAGACTGATGTTTGTGGGCTGCCCAGCTCCTGCCTCCTGTCAAGTTTGCAAACTGGCCCCATCATCCCTAAATAAGCCCACCTGTGGCCCATTCACCTTGGCCACCACTTCTGCAGGACCCTGCTCCCTGCAATTCCTTTCTGCCCAGCCTGATCTCTGCTCTCCTCACCAGGGACAGTCTTTGTTGTTCAGTGGGACCATGTCTACCTCCAAGGCCGGGAGGACAGGGGCAGTTTCACCTTCCAGGCAGCTCTGCACCAAGACGGCCGCATTGTGTTCGGCTACAAAGAGGTGAGTGGGCCCAGCTGCAGAGATGGCTGGGTCTTGGGCCCTTGCTTTCATTCAGCAAACGTCTGCAGAGACCCTCCAATGCGCCAGACATAGGATGTGGTGCTGGGGAACAGCAGGTAGTAAGATGCTTGCCAGCCCTACCCCTGTGGTGGAGAGAGTCTGGTGGGAGAGGATGCATTGAAATTGTGGGAACAAATGTATAATTGCCATTGTGACAAGTGCTCCTAAACAGAAATGCCAGGAAAGCCTTTCATGGGGCTCTTTACCTGAATGGGGGCCAGGGGAGGATCTCCCGAGGAAAAGAGCTGAAATCTGCAGAATGTGTGAGAGTTAAGGAAGCAAAGAGGAGAGTGAGGTGTGTTCCAGGAGCGAGAAAAGCACATGCAGAGGCTCTGTGGCACGACAGAGCACGGTTGGACAAAGCCCTGAAAGAAGGCAGCCTGGCTGGAGTAGGGAGAGTGGGGGTGAGACGGGGCAGGGGAACAACTGGATTTGCCTTTTAAAAATCACTCTGGCTTCAGAGTGGAGGACAGAGGGTTGGGGCTCAGAGGGAATGCTGGGAGATGATGGAGGAGAGAGGTGATGCCAGCTTGGGGGGTGGGGGGGCGATGGAGAGAACTGGATGGATTTGGGAGCCAGCTAGCAGGCTAATTAATAGGATTGGGGATGTATTAGTTGGAGAAGGAGGGAAATGAAGGAAGGGGTTGGGGGAGGGGCGAGGGTGACTCCCAGTCCTCTTGCCTACATGAAGGTGCCACACACAGAGATGGAGAAAAGAAAAAAGGAAATGTGTTCGGAGATGGTGTGGGAAGACTGGGAATTTGGATGGGGCCCTATGGAGTCTGGGATGTCTTTGAATTCTCCAAGAGGCAACACCAAGTGGGCAGATGGGTCTGGAGCTCAGAGGGGAAGTTTAGGCTGGCCCAAGATTATCGGGGCAGTGGGGTAGACGGAGCCTCTTCTCCCGTTGCAGATCCCTATGTCCGTCCTGGAAATCAGCTCATCCCAGCACCCCGTCAAAGCAGGACTGTCAGATGCCTTCATGATTCTCAATCCATCCCTGGACGTGCCAGGTGAGTCTCCAGGGATCCAGCGGAGATCCCTGGATGGGGTTGGACTCAGCTCGGATTGAGCCAGGCTGGTGGGGGTGATGGTGGTGGCAGGGAGTGGACAGATGACGGAAGAGCTGAGTGGGAACTGAGGGAAGAAAGGGGGCAGAGCAAGTTCCAACTTTTCTTCATTAAAGCAGAGGAACCACTTTTTTGCAATAAAATCTCCAGTAGGAGGCACTGCTCTAGTGACTGAGGGGTAGGGGAGCCAGGGCCCTTCCACTCAGCACACCTTCCATTTAGAAAATCTCCAAAGATACCAAATGAGGGTTTATGAGTCCTTCCAGAACACAACCATAATTGCCTCCCCTCCCCAGATGATAAAAGGGGCATCACAGGAGACAGGAAAATTAGGTTTCTCTCCTGTCCCTGATCCCTGTGCCATCCCACCCCGGCACCACCTATTCCCCTCCCTGGAGGCAGCCAGGGCTACCACGTTATTTCTAGAGCTACAAGCCTTCGGGTAAGTATATGTATGTATATTTAACACAGATGATGGTGTATCATGCCCTCTGTTCTGCTCCTGAACAAAGTATATCCTGCCCATCATTCTACATCAGCACAAATCTCATTCTTCTCAATAGCGCATTGCACGGATAGACCTTGATTCAACGAGTCCCCTGGGGAATAGAATTTTCAGTTGTTTTAATCTTTCACTACAGCAAATAATACTGCAGTGAATATTCTTGTGAATAGTTACCTTTATGTCCCTGTGTAATCTTTATTTCCATAAGATTAATTTCCACCACTTCACTTACCCTTTCACTGTCCCCCTCTGAACTCCCAGTGCTCTAGCGAATGGCTCAGACCCTGCCCCATTGCTCCAGTCAGCATCTGCTCTGACTGGTTGGTTAATGCCCATACAGAGCTGGTTGCTAAAGAGTTTCACTATCACCCTGATTGTATTAGTTAGCTACTGCTACGTAACAAATTATGCCAAGATTAGAGGCTTAAAACAACAAACATATTATCTCAGGATTTCTGTGAATCAGGAAGCAAAGCATCACTTAGCTGGGTCCTCTCTGGCTCAGAGTCTTTCACAGGCTGCCCTCAAGGTGTTTGCTAGGGTTACAGTCACCTCAATGATTGATGAGGGGGAAATCCATTTCCAAGAGTTTTCACGTGATTGTGGCAAGACTCCATTTCCCCCTCAGTTCCTGCCATGTGAATCCTCACAACATTGTAAATGAAATCTGTACATTTGTCCCTTTTCAAATAAGGACACAGAGGCTCAGAGAGGTGGACTGACTTTCTTATGGTCACACAGTAGAACTGAAACCCAGATCTCCTGTTTTTTTAAACCCTGGGGTCCACCATTGAGACTTTCTAAGTCTGACCTACTCCCATTCCACCCAGAAGGGTGAATCCTTTCCTTTTCAGTTCCCCAGAAATCTACAGCCCTGTGTGCACACACCCCAGGCTATTTTGCAGGAAGGACAGTTCTTGGCGTCAGTGGCCCTTTCCCCTCCCTGAGCGTTACTGCACCATGGGGCAGAGTCTATGCCTCCCTCAAGGGCTCTGTGGCCAGCGGAGTCTCAGGAAATGTGTGTTGGATCCAGCTGTTGAATGAGGGTGAATTAGAGGAAGTCAGATCCCCCGAGAGTGTCTGCATCTGAGGCTCCTCTGTGATTCTGGAATGAAAGGTTGTTTTAGAACAAGCCAGGGAGATTTGAGAAGGTGGGGTAAAGGAAGGGGGCAGGAAGCACAGCCCACCTGAAATAACAGGAGGGCAGCTACGCCTGATCTGTGAGACTGGGAGGAGATGCAAGGGCTCTGTTGTGGGACGTGCTAGATTCAGTGACGTCAGATGTTATTTGCAGAGATGCTGGGTCCACCAGCCGAGCGAAACCCAAGCCTGACCCCCAGATACTGCCCCGTGTCCAGTCTTCCTTCCCTCTGCTGCTCATTCCTTCTTGTCACTCCCAGACAGATATGATCATGTCATTCTCTGGCTCCTTACTGACTACAGCCTCAATTCAAAGTCCTTAATTTGGCTTTTAAGGACAATAGCCCACCTTTCCTTTTTTTCCTTCCAGTTTTATTAAGAGATAATTGACATACAGCACTGTATAAGTTTAAGCTTAAGGTGTACAGATAAAGATTTGACTTACATATATCATGAAATGATTACAAAGTTTAGTGAACATCCATCATCCCAGATACAAAATTAAAGAAATTTTAAAAAGATTTTTGCCTTGTGATGAGAACACTTAGAACTTACTTGCTTAACAACCTTCATATATAACACACAGCAGTGTTAGTTATATTTACCAGCCCAGCTTTGTAGCCGCATCTCCAAACCCTCTTGTCACCTACCACTGTCTGTCCCGGCAGCAGTGGTCCATCGGGGGCTGCCCTGTGTTCCCCAAACACTCCAAGGGCTGTCTGCATCTTTGTGACACAGTCCATAGTGTAAAAAGCCCCCCACCCCAATCCTGTTATCGCTTGGCAGAATCCTACTCATCCATTGGTCCAGCTCAGATATTGCCTCCTCCACGTGGCAAAATTCCTGGCTTCCTCCTCCATCCCCCTGGCTCTTTGTTAAGAGCTTTAACATAGAACTCATGACACTGGCCTGCTCATCTGCCCTCTCCACAGCTAGCTGCAAGCTCCTTGGGGGCTCTTTGTGGCCCCAGCACTTAGCCCAGTGCCTGTAGCAGGGCAAGTGCTGAAAAAATGAGTAAGAACTGAAGAGTGAGGGCTGAATGGAATGGGTGTAGCAGAGCCCCTGTCCTCTACCCTCTGGTGACCCTAAGTGAGAACAGGACCTGATCCTTGAGTTCAGGGGTGAGTGCTTTGGTAACTGCATCTCTCTTTGTCCGAGGTTTTTAGCTTGGGGATCCAGGCATAGACATTGCAAGGAATATTGAGGTGCGAGTGGAGCATATTCACGTGTGTGCATTTTTCTGGGACAGTATCCATGGCCTTTAGTGGGTTTTAAAATGGGCTACATCCTCTGCTTTGGGGAATGATAGCTTTTATGTGCTTAAGAGATCAGAATCCTCTGGTCTGACATTCAACCCAGCAAGCAGGAAATTAGTTTGAATTAGATTGAGCTGCAAATAACAGAAGATTCCAAATAACCATGATAGAAGTTCAGGGAGAGCCCTCTGGTCCACAGACCCTATCATCACTGTGGATCTTCACATTATCCCAACCCACCTGTCCTACAGAATGGGTGGTGTCACTGTCCTGGCACCCAAGCTTGGCTCCCTGCCTGGGGTGCTGTGAGGAGCTGAGTTTATTCCTCACTCTTCAAGAATCCCTCAGCCACTGAACTGTCTGGGGGACCAGCTCCTCCCCCAGGCTCCAGACAGGTTCCTCCCAGCCCTGCCTGAGGGCAGAGGGAATTCTGCACAGTCTCATTCCTGGGTTTGAGGGAAGAAAATGCCCCAAACAGCCAGAGTTTCTCCTACCATTGCTTCCTTATAGAAGCCCTCCACAGGCTTTGGAGCAGGGAGTCTGCAGAGTAGGCTTCGATGCAGAGAGAAGCTTTACGTGTGATTCGCCGCGTCTGTCTGCAGGGGCATGCCAAACGTGCAGGGTCGCTGGTACAGGCTTTATTTGACTGGAAGGGCCCTCGGAAATCAATATAACTTCCTCTGTTCATTTGTTGAGGACACCTTTTCTCTCGTAGACAGTATAAAAGCAACTTTAATGTAGCCAACATCAAAACTGACAGTGATTCTGATTTAATGGAATCAATTAATAAGGGATTTTCATTCCAAATAGTAGCCGCGCCCCTTGACTGGTCCCAGAATGGGCTTGGATGACCCTAACACTTGGGTCTTCTCCTTTACCAGAACTTCCCTTTCCTTTCAAAGCCAGACTTGAGAACAGAAATGTGGCAGAGGCCTGCGCTGTGCCTTAGTGCTGGGCTGCAAGGCAGGGGTTGGGGGGGAGGCCCCGGAACTGACGGCAGAGGAGTGAGGACCAGCCAAGGGAGGGCGTGGCTGGTGGGGGAGGGGGAGGGAGGCACGGGTGTCGTCACCAGATCTGGCCCTTTTTGTCTTCTCTTTGCTCCCAATAAAGGATCTTTTATGGTGCTGCTCTTCATTGCAGGTTTTTAATCCATTCCGGGGCCCCTCCTCTCCCCAACACAACCCCACCCCCTCTCACCCCTTTTTCACTTTTCTATTTTTCTCTCTACTCTGCTCGCTGAGTACTACTTGACTCCCTCCTCTTCTCTCTCTGCCTTTTTCTACTTTCTGTGCTGAGGAGGACCCTCCTGCCTCCCCTCCTGGGCCGAAAGCTCTTGGAGTACAGGACTGTGTTCATCTCTCTCGGGTCCCCTGCTGGGGCTCAGTTCATGATTATGAAAAGAAGAACCAAATGAGCAAAGAAAGACTTTAATGAGTAAAGGAAAACTTTTTCCTGACCCACCATCTTTTATTTTTTTATACTGTAGCCACCATTTTGGAGGGAAGTTTGTGGCTGGATCCATCACTCTGATTTCTTCTGACCAAAGCGACCCTGTCCCCCTGGTATCTGGTATTGAAACAAAGTGGGACATGCAAACCTCTGTTTTAAGCTGTGAACAGCTCTTGGTAGCAAGGCAGGGTTTCCCGTGCCTGGACCGTAGTATTTCCGAATCTTTGGTGAGTCGAAGCAGAGATAAAACAGAACATCTCAAACTGCCAGAAATGTGGCTCTGGGGCCGCCCTCTCGGTCCCAGAAGGGATCTGTTGGTCATGCAGACGGACGTCATTGTCCTTGGGTGAGCCCCAGATGTTGGCAAGATAATCTCAAGGCAAATAACACAGGCGGGGATGTTAAGGGTTCTGTTTATAGAGGAATAAAAATATTACCAAACCATACACTTAAACAAGTACAAGCTGGCAGTTATAGTGAGCGAATCTTTTTAACCAGAAATTTGTTTCTACTCACCCACGCTCTTTCCTCTTCCGCCCTGCTGATAGGGCTGTTTTGGTTTTCAGAGGACATCTGACCATCTCTGACTGCACCCTCACTTAAGGCACATCCCCAGCTCTGCTCCCAGCTAGCTGGTGGGAAACCCATGCCTAGAGTCTGGTGTGGAATTTGCTGGGAGCCCCACCTTCCCCAGTATCTGTGCATCTCTAACCCTGAAATCAGCTCTCTTGACAAGTCTGTGTCTTTCTTCCTGCCCCAACCCTGACTCTCTTTTCCCTCCCATTTCACCTTCCTTCTCATCCTCGCAGATGGAGAAATTCTGAAAGTTTTTAACTCTAACTTCAGAAAGGGCAGGTCTGGCTTTCTGTGGTCCATCGGGGGCTGCCCTTTTTAGAAAGGCCATAATCTGTGGTGGGCTGGGGAGGAAGGGTCTTCCTTTGTGCTGCAGCCTGAGGTTGAAATGTTGCAGGAAAATGTGTTGCACCTGGGTGTTACAACTCAGTTGTGACAGCAACCTACATCCAGGCAAGAGACCAAGCAGCATTCAGAGTTGGAGAACTCAGGTTTATTATGCCAGTGAGCCCAGATGAACTAACACTCGAAGCTCTGAACCCTGTCTGTAGGTTTACACAGGCATTTATAGGCTGCTGGTTTTACACTTTGTAACATCATATGCAAATAAAGTATAACAGAAGTTGACCAATCAGGAACAAGCTTTGTAGAAATAGACAAATCAGGGGGTGAGAGAAATAACCAATCAGGAGTGAGGGGAATGGACCAATCAGGAGTGAGAGAAATAACCAATCAGGAGTGAGCTCTATGCAAATGAAGTACTACAAATGGACCAATCAGAAGTTAGGGAAGTGGGCCAATCAGAAGTGAAAGTAATAACCAATCAGGAGTGAAGGAAATAACCAATCAGAAGTGACTCAGGGAACCAATAGAATTTTAGGGGTAAGCCATTTCAGAGGCAAAAAGTGAGATAGAACCTCTGGGCCAGGGAACCCAATGGTGTGCCACGAGAGTAGTGGTCCTGCTTGGGGGTCTTGCCTGTCTTTTTATGGGGCTTCCCGCCTCAATAATAAGTTGCTGAGGTTTTCCTGACTATTTGTAAGCCATTCATTCATTCACAGTCTTTTCGTGAGACCCTGTTCTGAGACCCTGTTCACGAGTGAGGGGCTGGAGGACACACAGACGAATAACTAGGTGGCTCTGCCCTTGGGGGAAGCTCACACCCTGCAGAGGAGGGACCACTAACAGCTCCCAAAGGTGGGGGATGTCCTCAAGGAGGGCCTGCTATTTGAGCTGAGCCTTGAAAGATGAGGCAGATTAAGGAAGAAATGTTTACTCAGAGTCTAGACCCTATGGCCTCATGCATCTTGGAAGTCCTGGAGTTTCACATTTGTTTTATCCTATTACATTGTGGTGCTCAAAGAGGTGATTCTGTAAGAGAGATGACACCTGGGAGTTGTGGGTGGGATGCAGCTGCAACTTCCCCATCCTACACCTAATGTCTCACATCCCCCAGGCTCACTCAGAGCCCAGACCACCTTCACAGAGCAGCTGGTGTCACATGGGGCAAGCCCTGCAGCATATATGGTTCTGTGGGTGAATTGAAAAAGTGCTTCTGGGCAGATGAATTACAGAAAGGTGCCCTTCCTCACCCCAATCTCTTTCAGATCCATCCATGCTTGGCAAGGGGCCTTTCTTGTATTTAAAACAAGACAAAGCAAACCAACAAACCAACAAACCTGTGTGTTTATCTGTGTGAGTGCTCACGCGCGTGCGTGCGCACATGCGAGTGGGTAGTGCTCCCGTTTCAAGTGCAGGACTCTGAGATTCCTGTTTGGTTTCGGGGGAGCTTTGCTGCCACCAGCACCAGAGCAGTTTCCTGTTCACTGAAAAGAAGGTTCCAAGGACATTCTGCAGCCCTTGCGAAGTTTCTGGGGCTGAGGTGTCCCCAGGCTCTGCAGCAGGACAGTGGGGTGTGGTGGGAAGAGAGTGTGCTTTGGGGTCAGACCACCTGAAGATCAATTCTGGGTTCAGTAGGAGGGAACAGTTCCAGGATTGAAGCTAAAATAATGATAGGAACATAGCTGGGATATTCTTTTGAGCAGCGGGTGCTCCCCTAGATTCTTTGCTCAGGATGGGGAGCAGGGGGATGGGGTGCCCAGTGGCTGCACAGGACACGCTCCCTTTCATGGGTGTCCCTATTGAGTTCTGCTGCCACCTTGGGAGACTTTCCTCCAAACCACCTTCAGCTGAGTGAGAAACTTATATCCTCAACTACTCTGGGCTTCTAGTGAAAAAAAAAACAAAAACTGAAACGAGCTTAAGTGAAAAGGGGTGCACTGGAAATACTGAAGTAGCCCAAAGACCAAAGAACCAAAGAGCTAACAACTGGGAAGACGTGCATCAGGGCAGGTCCCAGGACTCCAGAGCCTAGAACGCCATCAGTACTCCGTACAGCTCTCTCCACAAGGTGGCTTCATTCTCTGGCTTTCCCCATGAGGCTGGAACAGAATCTGAACATGCATCTTCTCAGCATCATTACTGGAGTGCAAAGGGCCCCCTTGTTACAGTAAAAAAAGTCTCAGGGAAGGTTTCTGATTGGTCGCAGAAGAAGATGCAGTACAGACCACATGGAGGAAGAGACTGGGGGCACTTCCTTCTGTCTCCAGAAGGCAGTAGGTGTGCTGGGCAGACCAAATACTGAGTGACCTTTTCTTCTTATGGGGAAACTCATTCACGAAGCTCAGCAGCTGGCTGCCTGCCTTTTGGAAATGAAGGATGCCTAAGTCATGGTTCTTAGATGGGCGTGGGGATGTGGTGGGAAATATCAGAGTATCTCAGACTGCCATGTTAGGAAAAGTCTTTTCATCTACAACCCCAGCTTTTTCCTCCCAAGGATGTTGTATCCAGTATTTCTGTCTTTCCACTTTTCAGACAGGAAACTGAGGCCCGAAGTTTATCCAGCTTGTTAGGAGCAGAACTCGACTCAAAACTCAGGTCTCTTGACTCTGAGGTCCTGTAGGAAGCTTCTGCAGGGACTGAGGCAGGACATAGGCCTGGTTCCAGGCCCTGAATCTTGCTCTGCCCTTCATCCAGGAAAGGAGAGGTTCTCCAAGGTCAGCCTGTGCATCTCTAGACATTTATAGAGGGCTCACTGTGGGTCAGGTTCAGGACCAAATGATCACAGTCGAAGGGCCCCCACCCTCCAAATTGACCCTAATGACCACACAACGTGGTGAGTGCAGTGGGAAGAGGGCATGAATAGGAGGCGGCTGGTCAAGGGAGGCTTCTCAGAGGAAGTGGCCCTGAGCTGGATCTGGAAGAGTGAGCTAGATAAGGAGAGAACGGATGGAAGAACATCATGGGTCACGGGAACAGCAGCTGTGAAGGTGCAGAGGCATGCGGAAATGTGGGATCCCTTGTGTCCTGACCCCGGGAACAGCTGGGCCTCTGCATTTGTAACCTGCTTATAACACAACGCTCTCCTCTCAAGGTCAGCCCCTGTCCTCCTATCTCCCCGAGGTTTCAACATCATTATCCCAGGTTGATAGGTTTACTTCCTGACCTCAGTGGCTGTATACTAACGCCTGGTTCCACTCACTACGATCTCTTGTCCAGGTGTCAGGCTCCAGGTACAGGCCTCAAAGCCCTCTGGCCATGAGATGCTCCCCATGTCAGGCTCTGTCTCTGTTTCAGAATCTCGACGAAGGACCATCTTCGAATACCACCGGGTGGAGCTGGACCCCAGCAAGATCACCAGCACATCGGCTGTGGAGTTCACCCCGTTGCCAAGTAAGTAGGGGTTGTTATTCTGATGGGAGGAGGCATTCCACTGTCCTGGAAAGGGCTTTGGTGTCACACTGAGTTCCATTCGTAGGCCCTCTGCTGACCCCTGTCTAGGAATGGCCACCTAACTTCTCTGGGACCCTGTTTCTCATTTGTAACATAGGCCCAACACCACCTCCCTCCTAGGGCTACAGTAAGGGTTACAGCCTCAGGCAGTAGAAATGAGGATGTAAATGGCAGCTCTGACACCAGTTGGCCCATCGCAGGTCTGAGGCGTGGTTTGTGCTTGATACGTGACAGCTGTTATTAATACGTAATTGAAACCCATGAAAGAGGTACCTCTGGGAACTTAGCCTGAGCTCCCAGAAAAGAAAATCCAGGAAATGAACTGATCCATAAGTTCATCATTGTGTTTTCCTTAGGGGAGAGGTGGTGCTGGTATCCCTAGGCAGAAGGCAGTAAAGGGATTTAGCCAGCAGCCAGGGGGCTGGGTCCCTTCCCTCTTCTGCACCCCACTCATCTGCAGTTGAAGACATACCGTTTCCGAGGCCCCAGCTGGGGCTGTGGACCCCATGGGATTGGGGTGGGATGCTCTTCAGGATGTGGCCAGGGCAGCTGGGGAGGGTGAGGGGAAGGACAGCACTCCCATTTCTGTATTTTTAAAGAGAGTTTCAATTTCAATTTTCTCTCCTGTTTCATGGCACCTCCCAGCTTCCTCGTCCCTGGAGGTTCTGGGAACTGGAGGTGGAGAAAAAAGAAGAGGAAGAAAGGAAGGGTCTTCTCAAAGGCTAGGCCGTGTCCCAGCAGGTGTCCTCCCCTGGAAAAGAGGACCATCCCAGACACGTAGTCATAGGGCCAGGACCTCTGCAGTCACAGCCCCAGCCCCGCTGCAGCTGCTCTCCCTCTAGGAAGGGCTTCCTCAAGGACTGGTGAGAGCAACCTTCAGTCCCAGGAATGAATAAGCTGCATTTAGGAACAAGGACATCCAAGGGCAGGGCTAACTGCCCGGGTGGAAGAAGTGAAACATCCTGGGAGCGCATTTCTGGGACACTGTCTGTACATTTAAGCCACTTCCCACTCCTCCAGTGAATTTTGTGAGCATTTAATAGCACTCAGGACATCTGAAATGCAGATGAGAAATAAAGGTTAGTGGGTTTTATGAATACCCCACGAGGCTCCCAGGGTTTTTTTTTCAACTTAACTGGAGTCATTTAAGGGGCCTCCAGAGTCACTGGGAATGACCAGGTCAGGGGCTCCCATGTGGGGAAGGGGGCAGTGCTGTCAAGGCTGTGATCTCAGCTCCTGGGAGGCCGGTGAGCTTTGTCCTCAGAAAACTCTGCATCTTACAGCCCCAGGCTTTCTCCCTTACCTTTGGGTAGGGGAATACTTGGCCGAAATTCTTCCAGAGATGTGGATGCACTATCTTTAAGCCATCACACTTCTTGGCTGGTCCCTCTTCTCAAAGAGACTCGTGAAAAGGTGGCCTAGGGTAGAGGTAGAACCCACAGTGGGATCTTGAGGCTAAGAACTCAGGCTCTTGGCTTAAACAGATTAGTCCAAACCCAGACCTGCCACTCTTAGCTCAGGGACTCTCTCCAAGCCTCAGTTTCCTCCTCTGTCAAATGAGGATGACAAAAGCAACTATACATCGATTCTGTTAACTGCCTGCCACTTGCTGGGCGCTACTCTAGACTCTCTGGATGCACCAGAGAACAAAACAGCCAGAACTCTTCATTCTCCAGCCGGGCCAGTCCCTGCTTATTTCTTGCAGATGGCTTTCCATCCACCCTTCCAAAGCCTGCAAAGCCCTGGTAGACAAAAGGACACAGTGCCACCTACAGCCAGTTCCTCCCACAAGGCAACTGAAGGTGACCACGCTGTGCCCACAGCAGCTTTCCTCCCACTCACTGATGGCTGGTTCCCAGCTGCCATCTTGTTGGGGGTCCATGGAATGCAAACCGATTCCCTAATGAATGGGGCTGTGGTAGAGTCCCATGGCAACTCACAGGGTGAAGAAATGCGAGCGATGTCTATTGAATGAGTCGTCATTCTCTATAGTGAGGGGTCACTTCTTGCTGCTACCGATGTGTTCTGTTCAGCTGCTCATCAGATGAGCCCTTATATTGCTCAGTTATTCCAGGTCAGCGCCTGTCTGTCCTTATGATAAAATGCACAGGCTGCGTGGCAGCTGCTTGCCACTCCAAGGTCATTCGGGTTCACTTAAGTGGGTAGCATTTAATTGCAAGTGAACAGCTCTGAAACTCCAGCCCCCATACCTCCTGCCCCACTGGCCCTCTCTGCTAGGGGTCCACACACCCTCCAGCAACCGCTCCCACTAACTTTTCTGCTCTCTGACTCTACCCTCCCTGCTAGACCCCAGCTGCCGCTCCTCCCCATGCCTACTACCTTCCACTTCTCCATTGTGCCCTGCCCATTAGCGTTCTGGCTGCTGTTGGGAGCATCCCTCGGTCGTGCCCTTCCCGGGCCTCTGCATGCAGGGGTCCTTCTGCTTGGACTTCTCCTGCAGGAGAGCTGCCCGGCTGGCTTCCTCCCTTCTCTTAGTCCCTGCCTTCCCAACCTCCCTGAATAAGACACCCCCCTCACCGTCAGCCACTTTCCTGTTCTGCTCTACTTTTCTCCCAGCCCTTCTCACCACTGGGAACCCTCGTGTAGATTAATTTGTCTGTGTACTTGTTGGCCGTCTCCTCCACTCGCGTGTGGGCCCCATGCGGGCAGTGCTTCTGTCTTTCCCTGTTCACGCTGCATCTCCAGCATCAGGGGAGACGCTCAAAAAATGTTTGTTGGAAGAATGAATGAGTGAATGAACACCTGCTAGGTATATTGAGGGGAACGAATGGACAATAGTTGATAACAGGTAGCATCCAGTAGGCTCACCGTGTGGCCGGCTCTGTTATAAACCCTCTCTAGGTATCTCATCACAGCAGGTCCACCGCAGAGCATCCTGATCCCTCTTTTACAAGTGAGGTACTGAGGCACCAAGAGTCAGGTCACTTCCCAGGGGGGATTTAAGCCTGGATGAGCAGAGAGGTCAGCACACCCCCTGGGAAGAGCTCACTTCCAAGAGGAGAGAGAGAAGAAAGGAATAGAATCACATACACCTGGTTTACCCTCGAAGACTCAGCACCCAGACTTCCCTGGGAGGAGGCGAGAGGAGCTGGAGAGGCCAGGAGCAGGCAGTCCTGCCACATGGACTGTCCTCAGGAGGGGGACTGAGCACTCCTGGCCAGCACTCAGTGGAGGTCAAATCAGGACATCTTAAAAAGTCCTTTTCAGTGATTGGAGACAATGCAACTGTATACAAACGTTCAACTTGCTGTGAAACTCAGTCTTAATTGTTCCCAACCCTGGAAGAAGTGATAATGATGTGAAGTGATGGAGGCATTAACTAGCGATGATGTGGCAATCATACACACAGCACCATAAATGTATCAGAATCAACATGTGGTATATCTTAAATTCACATGATGTTATATGTCAAATGTATCTCAATTTTAAAAGATCCTTTCCAATAGTCCACACTCTGCCTATGGAGTGTGTATCTACTTTTGCTTTAAACTAAACAGCCGACACGTCTCAGTCTCTCTCCCTCTCACCTTTCCGAGATGGCCCACATTCTGCCTATGGAGTGTGTATCTCGTAAACCATTTTCCCTTCTAGTAAAACAGACTGCACTCTGTCTATGGAGTGTGTATCTCTCTAAATAAACTTGCATTCACCTTAAAAAAAAAAGATCTTTTCCAACGCTGCAGTTGTAGGCAATGGCCCAGGAGTATAACTTCCCAGACTAGGTGAGATCCTTTTGAATGTGCTTACGGCGCCCTGTAATTTTCCTTCAGATGCCTCATCACCATGCTAATGATGTACTTATTTTTGTTTGATTATCTGTTTAGTGTCTGTCTCCCCATATGACTGTGAGGCCCAAGAAGGCAGGTACCAGGTGTTCCTGCTGAATCCCCAGCACCAGCTCAGGGCCTGACCTCCTGGTGACAAAAGGAAGGGAGGAAAGGAAGGACGGGGTAGAAAGGGAGGATGGAGAGGGAGAGTTGGAGAAATCAGGGCCAGACTCAAATGAGGGTGGCACTGATGACCACTAGGGTCCCGTCCCTGCTGGTCGGGGCCTCCCGAGTTCTGTAAGGGCCCAGCGTTCAGGAAAGTAGCACCTTTCTGGAGGCCTGTGGAGGGGCTGACACTGAGGGGCCGCTGCCTTCTTCTCTCTTGCAGCCTGCCTGCAGCATCGGAGCTGTGACGCCTGCATGTCCTCAGACCTGACCTTCAACTGCAGCTGGTGCCACGTCCTCCAGAGGTTTGTACCCAGGCTGCCCTCTGGGTCCCGCAGGCAGACTGTGCGAGGGGCCGAGGGGTGGGGCAGAGGTGGCACGGCCTCGCTCCCTGTCTCGGGCCTCACTGTCTACATGAAGGTATCTCTGGCTAGGGCTACTCTGATGCTCAGGACAAGAATATCACAGAAGTGAGTTTCTCCCTGAGGCTTGTGACTGATCGAGGTGACTTTGTTTCACCCTGTGGTGACACTAGACTTCTGGAAGACAATTTGGAAATTCCAGCTACAGCAGCTCCCTCCTCACACCTGGAAGGGTTGGCTCATCCTTGGGCCGGCCTTCCCAAAGAGTGGTCCACAGTTGGGAGCATCCCAGCATCAGCTCGGGCTCACATTAAACATGCAGATTCCTGGGGCCCAGCCCCCTGCATCAGGATCTCTGGGAGAGAAACCCACGAGCCTGCATTTTAACATGGTGTCTCATCCACAAACAAGCATGAGATCTGCCGGCTCAGAGACAGGGGATGATCCAAAGACCCACTGCCACTGGGCCAGAGCCCCACTACCCCAGAACACCACCTCAAGATCTTTCTCAGTCAGGCTGCAGCAGGGTTTCCTAAAAACCCAAGGTTGTGGAAACTGCAGGCGTCTGTGGAAAGTTGGGGCAAACTACAAAGCTGTGTTTGCTTGGTTTTGGAAGCAGGGAAAATTCTGGATGAGATTCAGATTCAGGGCTAAATTTCTTAAATTCAGCTCCTCTTCCACTCCCTGTTCTGAAATCATGTCCTCATAGATTAGATTCAGAATCGGAGCCCTGTTCTCCTGTCCAAGATAAATAAATGGCAGAAAGAAAAAAAGAGAATTTCTTTGGGGACTAGGGGTCCCATGACAGTGGAAAGACTTATAAACTCCAAGAGCCTTTAAGATAATCTTGATACTTGCAAATTACAGAGGCTCGAGTTCTATGCAGCTATCCTGCAGCTGTCAGTGTTCCTTTTGCACCTTTCCAATATTCTGACGCAGGAATAGAAACTATTGACTTTACAGGAGGCCTGCCCAGTAGACAAGACAGAGCTGTGGGCCAGGAGGAGAAAGGGCCCCTCATCAGGCTTCCTTGGGGCCTCAGTTTGCTTTCTCTGTAAAATGGGCTGGGGTTATGTGATTCGAGGAGATGGGGATGAGGAACATGCCTGTTTTTTGTTTTTGTTTTTTATTTTTTGAAACGTGCCTGTTATTTTATTTTTAATTTGTTTTTTACTTTGGGGAGAGGTAATTAGGTTTATTTATTTATTTTTAATGGAGGTCCTGGGGATTGAACCCAGGACCTCACGCATGCTAAGTAGAAGCTCTACCACTGAACTCTACCTTCTCCACCCCTCTTCCCTGACCCTTGCCTGTTATTTTAACTCCTCAAATGCCAAATGGTATTTTTGCAAAGTGTTTAAGGCCCTTCACATAAAAGGTGCTGAGCCTCAGAGAGTACACGGGGTAGACCCCAGCTTGGTTGTTCCTGGCGTGGAGCTTTGTGGTGTGATCCATCTTGGGCACTTTCAAGTTTGAGAGCCACTGTCTGAGGGTGGGGAGATAATCCAGAAGACCTCAGATGAGCCCTGGAATGCTGGGCTGGCTGCCACCACGTGACTCAGCATCCAACAACAGCTGAGCCATGAGAACTGCAAAGTGGGTCAGATGAAAGCAGAACCCTGGCTTGATACACCCCCACTTAATGCATACACCCAAACCCAGAAAACCCTGACAGTTTAATGAGGGTTGGTCATGGGGAGGGCAGGGCCTTGGGTGTGGACACTGCCTTTGCTGGGTTATGTCAGGTCCGGAACAGAGAAGCTCCACTGGGGAGTGTGCAAGGCTGACTCAGTGCTGAGTATCCTGTCCCCGGATGTCTGGGGGCCTGGGCTCACCCAACACAGGCCCCTTCCGGACAGATCTCCTCAGCTCCAACCGAGAGCAGACTCCAGCCTCCTAAAAAGCTAGAGGTCAGGGCTGCTGCAGTGGGCCGGCCACCGTGGTCTCTCCCACCAGCAGCTGCTGGCAACCACCGCGTGTGTCCTCGGCTTCCCCGTGATGGGGCCGGAGCTGATTTAGATTACTTCATTTATCATGCAGGAGTCTTCCTCTCATCCCACGTTGCCCCCCAGTGGCCCACTCCGGAGACTACAAGTGACCTTGACTCCAGGATTTGGCTCAGAAAATGAGGGTCCTATCCCTTTGCTTTGCAGTGTCTTTGGGAGTCCCATGAGATAGTTCAGGAGCAGCATGTGACTGGGGCCACACGTGGCGTCCAGAGGTGCTCAGACAATGGCCATTTCTCATGCCCTTCTCCTTCGCATCTGGGTTGGTTGGCCTGGGGCTTGGAATGTAATGCTCTTAGACCACATTGAAGGCTCAATCCTTAAAAGAACCAGTTCTGTTTGGCCTAAAAGAAATTTTAGTTCCCAGCCCCCAACAGTGCCCCTAACCCTCCATCCCTTGAAGCAGTGGGCACAGAGGACCTGAGAGGAAGAGCTCAGTTCCGTTCAGTTGTCCCCACTGCAGGAGGAGCAGCTCAGGGACATCTTCAGAAGGAAAGACTGACAGTGCCTCGAAGCCTCAGCCTCACCAGATCTTGGGAAGATGAGCGGGCAGTTGCTGGTGCAGAGTTAACCAGCCACGGCTCCCTTTTCAGCACTGGTGGCTCGTGAAACTATCTTCCCATGCAGACGTCCCTGCACTTGAGTAGGGCTTGATAGCATCTCCTGGCAACAGAGTGAAGAACAGAGCGTTGAGCATGATGCCGTGGAGAACATTCTCTGGTTCATCCTTACACCTGCACCTCTTCCCTAGGGAAGCACTTGACGTCTTCCAGCCCAGCTGACCTTGCAGTATCCTCTCGGGGGACCCTTGTCAGCCAGTCTTTAATCTCCTCCAGTTTATGGCAAGACCCTCACTGCCCTTTAATGGTCACACAGCAGGTGCTGGCCAGATCAGCTGGTGCCCACCTTCCACATTGCTTCTCCTTGTGCCAAGTTTAGGCTCCTCCACCAAGAAGCGGGGCTCGGCAAATGAGCAAGACTTTCCCTAGATGAAAACATGGTGTGAATTCCCTGGATTTTCAGCAATTTCAGGCTGCCCATAGTCAGGGAGCGTCTTAAAGGTCATTAGAGGTCAGGCAGTCCGTCAGCTCCCTACACACACACACACCTGGGCAGATGTGGCCTTGGTCCTGGGGAGCTGGCTTCGGAAGAATGCCACAAATCGCTTCCCCTCCTTTGGGGGAAGGAGTAGAGGCGGGGCAGGAGGGTCTGACTCCTGATCCCACAGCCCCTTGGTGCCGGAGCACCTGCCTAGTGGTCTTCGGGAGGTTCGCCCCTTCTTTGCTATCACCAGAGAACTGTTACTGCAAGGGGGGAAATGGAGGGGACGGCTTCTCTGTCAATCCCATCACACCTCTGGCCTTTTGGTTCCCCTTGCAGATGCTCCAGTGGCTTTGACCGCTACCGCCAGGAGTGGCTGGCCTACGGCTGTGCCCAGGAGGTGAGAGGGTTCAGTGCGCCAGGAGTGGGGAAGGGCCAGGCTGCTGGTAGCCCCTCACTTGGTAGCTTTTCTCAAGGCGTCTTTGGCTCTTGGTGAAATTCTCCCCTCTTCCTGGGGCTGGTCCCACCATCTGCTCCGAGTTGGCCAACGTGGGAGGTTTTCGAGGGCTTGGTGGGTCCCTGGGACAAGTACTTCTCTTGGTGACTTGGTCTTGCTCCCCAGGGACTCTTTTGGTCCTTGCAGAGGGGACCTCGGATGTGGCCTTGGCCATAGCAGGATCTCCTGGGAGGCTGTACACCTGGTGATGTTCAAAAAGCAACTGACCTAGCTCCAACCCGCCAGCATTGAGGAAGGCTGTCATTCTGGGAGCGAGGAGGGTGGTTTCCCACATCCTCCACTTAGAATCCCATACAGGTTCCTTCTCACTTCTGGAATTTTCCAGAATGCTCAATACTTTGGGTGGAGAGCATCATATTCTCACACCTTATACTGACACAGACAGACCCAGTCATCCATCTGTCCTTTTCCCCTCTCTTCCTCTCTCCATCCCTTCTTGCAGTGCAAGCACATGGCATGCTGCTCTGCACTTGCTCTGATTTAATCCTAACATGGGCCCAGGAGCTGGGGGTCGGTGCCTCAGCTGATCAGAACAGGAATCTGAGGCTCGGAGAGATTTAGTGAGTTGGCCAGCATCTCACAGCTGGGGAGGTAATGAAAGTGCTGGGCCCAACATTTAAATGTGAACCCCCGGAATTACTGCTGTGTGTTCACCACCTCCTGTTTTTATCAGTAAGTCTGGGTAAACTGTCTGTTTCAAAAAAACAAAACCAAAAAACTTGTCCAGGAGCCCGCTTCTACGTTGGCTGTTAGCGAATGTACAAATTTGCTTTAAATATTTAAGATTGGCATCTCAGCTGCTTCCTTTGGGAAGGATTCCAAGCAGCTGATAGATAAATTGCCCTGGAAGATAAGACACTTTCAGGATGAAGTGGGAAGCTTAAATGCATTCAGGGCCCACTTTGGTTAGATTACCACCCTTGGATCACACACCAGAATCTTAAATCTTCTGGCTGCTGAGGGATGAAAGTGCCCCCACCGTCCTCCTGTGTGTGGTGTGGCTGCCGGCGAGGCCTCCGTCCAGGGCAGCGCTGGGTCTCTCTTGCAGGCAGAGGGCAAGACGTGTGCAGACTTCCAGGACGAGGACTCGTTCTCGTCCTCCCCAGACAGCTCCTCCAGCCCCTTTGACGGAGACCTCACCACCACCTCCTCCTCCCTCTTCATTGACAGCCTCACCACAGAAGGTAAGGGGGAGGGGGAGAGGGGGAGAAGCCATGAGAAGAGCCACCACCTTGGAGCATCCCTGTCCCTGACCTCAGGGAATAGGACTGCTCCATCCTTTCACACCTGAGGCGCCAAGAGGAGAGGTCACTTGCTGATGAGAGGCAGAGCCGGGTTTAGACTGAATGGACTCCATGCCCTCATCAGGGCTTGGGGACAGAACTTACTGTGGCAAAGAGAAAAACTGATGTCTCAGCACAGTGCCAGGCAATTTACATAGCATCTCAGTTCATCTTGACAGCAATTCTCAGAGAACCCGTGAGGTGTTACCATCCCTGTAGCTACACTCAGATGTGAGAGTGAAAGAAATTGCCTCATTTTCTGTCACTTCCCTTCAGGCTTCCATCCCCCACCAGGCTGGCATGGTGGGGAGTTCCACCCCGATGTCCGGGGGCTTGGCTCCCTGCTCCAGTGACGTCGAGCGGGCAGAGGGTGGGGTGGGACAGCTCTGACCACCTTGGGTTGCTGCTGATCCATCTCTGCTTCTTCAGGCCTGGCTGTCCCCTGCCTTCTCTGCCATCCCCAGGCCTGGGGTCTTCTCAAAGCTGCCGGAGGTCCAGCCACCCTGTGGGAAGCCTGTACAGGCCCCTTGGATTCTTTGTCTATCTCTGAGAAATTCCTCTCTCATCCTTCTTCAATACATGGATGGCATCTAGGTTTTGGCCCCCTTGCCCTAAGTCTGAGACTGAAAGACCTGTGGGCTTTTACCAGCTCCCCTGGGCTACTTACCTGCTTGAAAGGGGCAAATTAAAAAGAGGAAAGGAGAGAAGAAGAAAGTTAATATTTTAAAACATTATTCAGCCACAATCCCATTTTGGAGAAAAGGAAATGGCCTCATAAGGGGCAAAATAGGTTACTCAGTGGTGGAATGTTCTTTCCATGGTGCCCCCAGCCTTTCTAAAAGCAGCCTGGAGAACTGGAGACCCAGAGCAGGAACCCTGAATCTGGCTGGAGGGAAGTGAACAGTTCAAAGAAAGAGCAAACATACTCACTGGTCCTCCTAAAGATCCTATCTGTTGACCCTGCTGGATCCACACTTTATGGAGGAGATGCTAAGGCTCAGAGAGGTTAATGGCTTGCCCAGGGTCACACAGCCAGAAAGAGGTGGAGTGAGGTTTCCTCTGGCTCCAAAAGCAGCAGTCTTGCCCCTTGACCTCACTGCCTTTCTCAGTGCTGAAAGAAATAGAAAAGGGTCTTTGTGGATTCAGCAGATGGAAAAAATAGTGAAGGGTGAACAAATGAGGCAGATTCAGACAGCTCCCATCACTCTGGAGTTGTCCAGGAATCACAAGGAGCTGCTTAAGGCGCTGGTTGACAGCAGAGTCTGTGCCAGTGCTGTGGGGGACTAAATAAATTACATGAAAAAGAGCAGGAGGAGGCCTTACCCTCAGGGAGTTAATAGTGGGGACCAGAGCTGACCTTCCGGTTAAAGGAAACTCCACTTAAAAGGAAGAAACCCCTGGCAGTGGCCCCTGAGTTAACCCTAAGTGCTACTAAGGGCACATTCTTCTTTCTTGGTTGTTGTTGTTTTTGTGTTTTTTTGGTGGGGATACTGGGGATTGAACCCTGGACCTCATGCATGCTAAGCATGTGCTCTACCACTGAGCTATATGCCCCCCTACCCAGGGCACATTCTGAGCCCAGGGCTGGGCTGGGGGCTGCAGACACCTCTCCCCTAAGTCAGAACCCAGCCTTTCCTTTGGGGTTTATGTCTGGGTGAGCCACAGGGATATAGACCAGAAGGGTGGCTGTGGTGGGTGTAGAAAGCATGGCATATGGGGGCCAGATTCAAAACCTGACTTGGAATTATTCGTTTTCTCCCCGTTACTGTCTTGGTGGGCCATCCCTACACAGAGGCAGCATATTCTGTTCATCAGTTTTATCATGTGTGTGTCTCCTGTCAGCCCAGAAATGTGTCACTTCTGTTTGCTGTGTAATAGTCCCCATCAGAACACATTAATTAGAGTGAGGACAATTATGGCTCCATGCCCGTCCAGTCCTGGAGGAAGTGGCAAAGATGGTCAGATTACCTGCGTAAGAAAAAAAGTTTTGATAAGAACCTTCCCCAACCCCCATCTCTTGAGGTGTCTAGCAGGACAGGTTTGAGTCACCCCCTGCCTGTATGATTATAGCTCACACAGGGAGACTTGCTGGAGGCAGAGTTTATCTCGCGGTACAGGAAGATGTTGTGGATGAAGGGGATACAGCCAGAGGGACCTGCAGGGCAGGGTTGGAGAGCTGAGAAGTTAGTGGGAGCGGCTGCTGGAGGGTGTGTGGACCCCTAGCAGAGAGGGCCAGTGGGGCAGGAGGTATGGGGGCTGGAGTTTCAGAGCTGTTCACTTGCAATTAAATGCTACCCACTTAAGTGAACCCGAATGACCTTGGAGTGGCAAGCAGCTGCCACGCAGCCTGTGCATTTTATCATAAGGACAGACAGGCGCTGACCTGGAATAACTGAGCAATATAAGGGCTCATCTGATGAGCAGCTGAACAGAACACATCGGTAGCAGCAAGAAGTGACCCCTCACTATAGAGAATGACGACTCATTCAATAGACATCGCTCACATTTCTTCACCCTGTGAGTTGCCATGGGACTCTACCACAGCCCCATTCATTAGGGAATGGTTTGTATTCTGTGGACTCCTAACAAGATGGCAGCTGGGAACCAGCCATCAGTGAGTGGGAGGAAAGCTGCTGTGGGCACAGCGTGGTCACCTTCAGTCGCTTTGTGGGAGGGACTGGCTGTAGGTGTCCTTTTGTCTGCCAAGGGTAGATGGAGACTGGGCTACAATGGATTTCCAATGGTCTAGATTCAGAACAATTTGATTCCAATAAAGTTAATTTGTCTAATGATGTTTAGGGTTACTTTAGTCAGTTTTGATGAACCAGTTCATCATTTTGAAGTTGTAGTAATGAAACAGACTCAGAGGCATATATAAATACCTTGTGTATTGAAATTCCTGAAGAAAACAGGTCTTTCTGTTATATGCCTACAAGTCTATTTGTTTTGTTTCACTTTGAATTTTTAGGGGTGCTTTTTAAATTTAACTTTTTTATAATTATGTAACAGTTAAATGATAATTAACATGGTTCAAAAGTCAAATCTACAAAAGCAGGAATATTAAAAGAAGTTTAGTTTCTAGTTTTCTCCCCTCCATCCTATTCCCTCCTTCCTCTATGGGGAACCATTTTTACATTTTCTTATGGCTTATTCTTCTCCATTATTTAATGTGATTTTCTGATATTTGAAGATTTACTGGCAATGTATAACAGAGCAGGGTGCCATGTCCAGGCACTGGGATGTGAAGAGGTTAGGTGTTGAGAGGCTCACAGTCTATGGGAACAATGAGACCCAAGATGTTGCAGAAACAGATACCAAACGCAATGGGACTCAGTGGAGGACCCACCCATCTGCCCTCCCAGAAGCGACAGAACCAGGGCCAGGACTAGGGTGAGGCAAGTGAGGCACTCAATGCAGGTAAAATTTAAGGAGGCACCAAAAAAGAAAAGGCAATAATCAAGATAAATAATATTTTAATGCAATATTTACAAAAATGAAAATTAATGCCAAAAACCCCATGATGAACAAAATATCAAAAATTTTAATAAAAGACAGGATCAGACCCTGTTTCACCTGTGTCTTCCTAACCTCATCCCTGCAGAGGGCATTTCAGAGGTGGGACTTCTGAAAAAGGAACAGTGAGGGAAAGGAAGGGCATCCCCTGCAGGAGGAACAGTATATGCAGCGGCTCAGAGGTCTGCGAGGTCTCCAAGGTCTGCAGAGCCTTCAGTGGCTTGTCACAGTGCTGAGTCATGGTGAGTGATAGGAGAAAAGAAGACTGGGACAAGCTGCGAAGGGCCTTGAACATCTGTGAACAAAAGAGAAGCCAGAAAAAGCCTTGAAAACGACGAGATCAGCAGAGGTCCCGGAGGAGAAGGGGAATGAAGTGCATGCTGCTAGACAGAAACTGTGGAAGGTTCCATTTGTTTAAAGTTTTGCTGCTTGAAGCAGTCACCTCCAGTCATCCTGGAGAGCACTCTCCTGACATGGAACTCTTGTCTGCCTTTAACTCTGGGCCTTTGTCTAGCTCCTTCCTCTGTCAGGGTTCCCAGTCCCACATCTCACTTCTCCTTTTTTTAAATCATTGTTTTCTTCCACTTTTATTGGGATATAATTGATATACACCACTGTATACTTTTTTCTTTTTAAAGGAGGTACTGGGGATTGAACCCAGGACCTCTGCTTACTAGGCAGGCGCTCTACCACTGAGCTATATCCTCCACCCTTACCCCTTTTTCTTGACTCCCTTTATCTGGGTGACACCTGTTGGAGCTTCATTATGCTGGATTATAATTACCCCTCTGTCCCCGCCACGACCAGTTAACTCCTTGAGTCCCCAGCATCTACTCCCAGTGCTCAACTCATAGTAAACACTCAGTACATATTTGTTGAATGAATGAACACTAGGGAAGGTTGGCTTGTCCGTGACCTTCTCCCTTTACACTGCTGTGTGACTTTGACTAAGTCCCCTCCCCTCTCTGTGCTTCAGTTTCCTAACCTTCAAAATGAAGGGTTGGACTGAACATCCCTAAAGCTTCATCCAAACCTAAAGTGACCAAGGCCATCATGATTCCACTAATCTTGTGCCTTCTGTCCTTTCTCTTTGAAGATGACACCAAGCTGAATCCCTACGCAGGAGGAGACGGTGAGTATACAACTGCCCGCCCCTCCTCCTCAGACCACCGTCCCTTGGACCCACCCTGGAAGATGCTGCAGTGGTCCCTCAGCCTCTTTGCTTTTATTCCGAGTCGGGGAGGGAGAGATAATAGCGGCCAGAGCTTCCCAGACTTCCTGCTGAGGGGAAGGCAGGGGGCTTCTGGGCATAGACCCCCTAGACAAGGGGAAAAATCTACACCTAGATGTTTCTCGTCTCAACCGGGAACCTCCTGCAGGTCACCTGGCCTCTTTGCTCTGGAATATCCACCACCCTGAAAGGAGCGAGAGGAGGAGGGGGCACTGAGCTGGGGCAGGCGTGGCAGTGTGGGCCTGTGCCCATGGCCTCTGTCCCCCGGGGCCTCCCCGTCAGTAAGTGGTGGAAAGCAGCTTCTCTCACTCAACTTGCCTTTGATTCCCAACCTGAGTTGGCAGAAAGTACACAAAAGTTGTCCACCACAATTTTCACAGGGCGCCAGAAGGTGGGGCCCCCTTCCCCCAGGACTGCTTGAGGGGTTATCTCTTCTGTGGTGACGTGGGCGGCCCTACCTCCCCTGCCCTTTGCCTGGAGCCTGTGCAACCATCGCAAGGGGGAGATGGAAAAGCTTTTCAACTCTGGGAGAGGAGAGGCTTTTAATACAGCGCAGTTTGATTGGGTCTCCCACCTCACTCCTCTGTGGGAGCGGGCGTGAGTGTGCACGTGTGTCTGTTGGGCTGAGGGGAAGCCGGGGAAGCTGGGCCACGTTCCCCTTACTCCACACCATGTGCTCCTCAGGCTGAGTCCCAACCATCAGATCACTAGGGTCACTGAAGGCTGCGAGCTGATTGCAGGTCAGGAGAGGCCAGCTTGGGGCATGTCATCTCAACTCTCCCAACTGTTGGCAGATAGAGGCACCAACCATGCCCAGGAGCGCCCCAGGATGGTTTCTCTCCTAGGCTTTTTCTGCTTGCAGAGAAAAGGAGATGGGGAACACAGTGATTTGGGAGGCATGCAACATCTTATTAAAAATCCCCACCCACAGTTGACTCCCATCCCACCCACCCGTGATGTAAAAAGGATTCAGTATTTCTGTTGCTTACACGCACATCTGTCTTCTCTACGGCAGTATCTCCACATCCTTTTAAAGTAGAGAGAAGAAGCAAAAAGCCACCCCAGGCAATTCAAGGAACAAGGCTTCTTAGTGGCTGGCACTGACTTTGTCTTGGACAAATCACTTCTCTTCTCTGCATTTCCATTACTTCAGCCATACAAGGAAGGGATCGGACGGGATGAGCTTCCAGCTAGACTATGGAAAATACCCAGTCTTCTCCTTCAGATGTATTTCAAATGCTTGGAATGTTCTCAGAGCGTGTCTGCTGGTTTATTAGCCTTCAGAGGACCAAGTTCATTTGTTTAATTGAGTGCCTCTGATGGATCTGCCTTTTTTTCCCTAAGAGTTGAGGACACAGAGATGAATAAGACACTGTCCTGGCCCTCCAGGAGGTCACAATCTGATAGTGGACAGTGACAGGTAAAAATGTGGTCATTTTGCTATCATAGTAGCTAACACTTATTGAAGTTGTCTGAGGTACCAGCCATGACCCTCAGAGGCTGACATGAATCATCTCATTTTAACCCTCAAAATAACCCTATTGTATATTAATAACAATGTTGTTATTATCCTTGTTCTACAGAAATGATAACTGAGACACAGAGAGGTTAAATAATTTGCCTCCACACAAGGTCACACAGCTAGTAAGTAACAGAGCCTGGATTTGAACCCAGGCAGCCAGACTTTAGATCCCAAACTTTTAACTATCACATGCCCTTTGTGAATTCCTTAAAATCCCTTAAAATTATTGGAGAGAAATTTTATGATCCTCATTAGACATTTGGGTAACTTTTAAGTGATTTTGGAAAACTGTCTGACATGCGCTAAGAACAGTGTTACTGTCACACTCATAATGGTTCCACCCACTCCCACCCCACCTTTTCATGGATTTGATAAGTAGACCTGGTTGTTCTGTTGGCTTTCATCTCTGGGACTTTGTCAGACCCAGGACCCCATGGCCCCACCCTCCCTGCTCCCCTGCAGCTGCACCCTGACCTAACGGTCTCCCCACAGGCCTTCAGAACAACCTGTCCCCCAAGACAAAAGGCTCCCCTGTGCATCTGGGCACCATCGTGGGCATCGTGTTGGCCGTCTTCCTCGTGGCAGCCATCATCCTGGCGGGGATCTACATCAACGGCCACCCCACCTCCAACGCTGCGCTCTTCTTCCTCGAGGTCAGTGCACAACTGGGCCGCAGCTCCGCCGTTTGCGTCTGTGTCAGCGTCTTTCCAGCCACTCAGTACCTGCCTCTCCCCATCTCATCCCTCACCTGCCACATGCCAGGCTCTTGTTTCCACCTGAGGGACTTCATCATCTCCATCTGGGCACATCTAGCACTGGTTGGTGCCTGTGGAGTCCCTAACCCCCAGGGCCTGGCACCTCAGAACTCCCCTGGCCCTCTTGTCCTGCTGAACGGCCTCTACTCTTGCGCCCTGATTTGTAAAATCAGAAGAGTCCCCAGAGGAAAGGAAGAAGGCCAGAAGTGTCACACATGCCCCTTTAGTGGCTGTGCAGCCATCTCCTGTGATTTATGGTCTCTCACACCCAATCCAGGCCTAGAGCCTGTTCAAAGCCATAATGGAACTGAGGTC